CATTCCTTTTCTTTTCTTTGCCTTTTGGCTTCCTGAGGATAGTTAGTGGTTGTGTGAGTAAGGGTGAGAAGTTTTCTTTGGCTAACAAAAAAAAAGGGAGAGTGTTCTTGAGAGAGGAGTTCTTTAGAAGAAATTTGGCATCTGCTTTCTTCCTCTTTCACGGTTAGCATACGAATCGATCCCTTTTTGTTCGAAAGAAGTTTTACTTCCTCTCTGTCGTTCGAGGAATTTGTGGCTTGCAGAATTAAAAAAAAAACCGAGAAAGCTTTTGCGTGGCTTTTAGGAGAAATTTTTGTGGTGCTCTCTTCAATTTTATTTTAGTACTTTGCTTTAAGTCTACACTAAAGAGGTATTCTTCTCCTCTCCTCTATTTTACATTATTTCGATTGACATGAAATCTGGAAGCGTTTTATAAATTGGAAAAACATATTTGGGCTTATTTTTGTTCCTATTTGCTGCCCCTGTTGTTGAAGCATATGTTGGAATCTTCCTTATGCTGGAAATTATATTTGAGGGTCTATCTTAGCTTAATTTGTTGCCCTTCGTTGTTCGAACATATGCTGGAATCTTCATAATGCTGGAAATTATATTTGAGGGCTTATCTTAGCTTAATTTGTTGCCCTCCATTGTTGGAACATATGCTGAAATATTTCTTAATGCTGGAAATTATAATTGAGGTTTATCTTGCTTCCTTTATTGCCCCGGTTGTTGGAATACATGCTGAAGTCATTTCAAAAGTTGAAGTTTTTGGGCTGAATTAATTGGCTCGGTTTGGAGTTTTCTGCCTTCATTTTTGAGCTGAATTAATTGGCTCGGTTTGGAGTTTTCTGCCTTCGTTTTTTAGCTGAATTAACTGGATCGGTTCGGGATTTTCTACCATTGCTTTAAAGCTGGTTTATTTGGGCTGGTTTGGTGGCATTTTATCTCTCTTTTTGGCTTTACCCGTGAGCTTGTTTGGGTTTGTTTGGAGCTGGTTTAGTGACTTGTGAAATAAAAAAAAGTTAATATAATTTCATTTTGAAGAAAGTATGAGATTGATATAAATTTAATTCAATAGGGGTTTGAAAATGCGCAAAATTGACATTTGGAAAGGATATCCTCCTCGGGATTGATCCGATCATTTTCCTTTTAACGAATTTAAATGTTTTAGACCGATAAATTCATGAGTTTTATTGATTTAACTTGGTTTTAAAAAATGGATCGGTCTACTTTTTCGTTCTTTTTGTTTTCTTTTTTTAACGGTCAAGTTAAAAATGGGAATTTCCGATTTAATTATATTCAGAAATGGTTTATAATCTCAAGGGAAATATGAGGGAATGAGAAAATGAGAGAAAATTAAAATTGAAATTTGAATTTTTGGGATGATAAAATCTAAAGAAGAGATATAGTAACGAACAATCCACCTTTTCTTTTACATAAGGAAAACTGAATTGCATATTAGAAGACTAGTTGGAATCGAAAGAAATGAGAATTTAGATAACGATTGAGAGATTAGTGGACTTACACTTAGATCCCTTAAGCTTTGAATCAATTTAAAATTCAATTCCTTTAACTAGGATTGAAGCACAACTCACAATTCTTTTGCCAAAACTATGACTTTACCCCTAGGTTTTAGGAGCCTGATAGCGAGCTAAGCTGGATCTATAGATGTTTGAGGGTTAGTGGAAAGACACTTAATTGAGATTAGGCACTTTAGGACACTTCAAGTTTAAACTAAAGTGCAGACATCCTAGATCTTAGGAGCACAACTTAAGAGATAGTTTATCATCCTAATTTTCAAATGACCCTAAGAAATCCAAACATCTAACCTCAGATTAGGAGATAAGTAGAACACTAGGCACGAGGGTGCACTAGATTGTGACTCATGACTGATTTAATTAAATCAAATAATGAAATTCTTACTTTAACTTGACCAAAACTGAAACCCAATGCTCCGGGATTTGTGTTTGTCTTACACTCAAATCCTCCTGGCAATTGGGGACATTCTAATATCACATAAAAATTTCCTATTCTTGGTCCTTTATATGTGATGTTGTATTTTATTTTATTTGTTTGTCTTTTTCCTATGATTTACCTGTTTCTGTTAAGTTTTTTTCAGGTCATATTTTCCTCTTTTACACAGCGCATAATAGCTAAATTTAAAGGAGCAATGAGCCTCTCAAGTGTACAGGTTTAATTTATATTACAACATTTTATTTTAAAGCATGTTATATTGTTTTCAGTCTGTTATACTGCTTCCCCAGCATGTTATACTACTCTTTATAGCATGTCATGCTCTTCTTTCAGCATGTTATATTGTCTTTTCTCTTTACTGTACGGTGCATTGTTACTTTTCTTTCACACTGCATGCTTAGTTACTTTGATACACTATGTCTTAGTTTAGAATAATCTAGTGGCTAAGTGCATTTTTCAAAACTAAAACTAAACCAAGAGGTGCTACTACGAAGAGCCTGGAGCAAACATTGTGGGCAGCACGACGAGGAACAATTTCCAGGTGGATCTGCAGCAGCAAAAACATATTTACATCACCTATCACCTTCTTTAGTTTAAATAACAACCCATAAGATCACTCTTTAGGCTTTTTGTACAACTCTGTTGTACAATTATAAGTCCTAAAGTTTTAGGATTCCGAAGTTACCGTGTGGTACGGTATAAATCCTCCTGTCTTTTTAGGCTATTTGCACAGTCCGATATTGTGCAAACATAAGTCCTAAGAAAAAAGACATAAAGCCAAACAGTAGGATAGTTGGGAGTTCACCGTGGTTTTCCCCAGATCTGTGATATCCCCTACTTTTCTTTTCTTTGGATTTCTTAAATAATTGTTCCTATTTTGAGTCATTCCCATTTGATTTTTTCATGTCCAATCGTGAAAACTTAAACTTTGAAATCATAAAGGCAAAACCACCTGATTTTAATTGAGAGTTTTCTTAAGTGATTTCGATCATTTAAGATGTAATTAATTATAGGGGTTTGCGCGATAGGGACCCTGGAACCCAGATAAAATAAACTCTATCTAATTTTTATATTAGATAGGGGAACTTGTTGGTCTTTTTATAAAATATTTCGCAGACCAAAACGGATGTCACAAATTCTTTAGTCTATGTGATTGAATTCCTGTTACAAGTGATATATTTATTTCTTCGGGATAAGTGTATTATTTGTAGTATTGTATTCAATTATCTAAACTATTTAAATGTGAAACTCATTTGGTCTCACCTATTTTAAAATTAAAATGTTATATTTAAAAAAAATCAAAAAAGTTATATTTATATTTAAATTATTTTCAAAATCACAAAAAATCATTCTTTTTCAAACCAACGAAGGTTAAAAAATAAAACGGCCGACACCCAACAGCAAAGATTGTCTTTGCAGCGGCTTATTGCAATGGTTTGTTCTGAAAAGAAAAAAAAAATGAGAGAGAGAGAGAGAACGCTTTTCCAACTGAATTCAATATTTTTTTGTGTGGTTTGTTTTTATCATAAGTTTATTCTGTTGTTTTTCACCTTTCTCATTGAAGATTGAATCAGAAAGAATTTTTCACCAACGAGTGCTTCGAATTCTTGAGCAATTGGGAGGTGATTTACCTTATATATATATATATATATATATATATATATATATATGTATGTATATATATATATATGTATGTATGTATGTATATATGTTTGTATGTATGTGATTCCTTGAGGACTGCTTTTTCTGTAGACTTAATGTAATATTGTTATTATAACAGATGGTGTGGAGCTGGCGGCTTATTTAACACGAATTACATGAATGAATACTTCATAGCAGAAGTAATTATATTTAGACTTCTGACTGCAATTCCTTCTTACAAATTTGTCCTGTAAGATAAATTCTTATGCATTTTATATAAACTTTTTCAATGTGCAAGTTATGCATTCACATATGACTGAAACAGATGTTGAATTAAGTTTGTCAGTGGGTGACTATGTGATTGTACGGAAGGTATTCATTCTTCATGGATTTCATGTATGTGCCATTTTTATCTTGATTTATCTGCAAATTTTTTAATTCTCTCTCCAGTAAAGTTATGTTGTTATTCTTTTTTTGCCTTTATATACCAGTCAAATAAAGGTAGTGTTCAAGCCTAAGCCTAGTACTTTCAATCCATCATATTATGAATGTATTGGATAATCTGGCTTGGTTAAAATGTGAATCAGGTATTCTTACGGATTACATTTATCATTGAATCGGATCCATTCAAAACCAAACTCGTTTATTGGCATAGTATTTTACAACAACGACTTGTAATCATATAGCAAGAAATTTTTATACTATATGTTATTTGTGTTGGGACGGAAAAATCGAATTCGATCGATTCACAACCAAATAACCCTGGACTGATTTGTAGCTTGTAGTTGCCTTGCTATGGTACTCCAAATTTTTGAACAAGTATCTAAGTGTAAAACGTAGGGTAGAATTGTGAATGTGATTGTAGAAAATAGTGCAACTGCTAAGTTTTGTATGACAAACGTCCATGTAGTATAAGCTGGAGTGGATATCTGAATTCTAGAAGCACCTGCACTTGTTCTTTGTACTTCCGGTATGGAGCCATCAGAAAATCCTTCAAATCTGTTAACCTTAATTGTTTGAGGATATGAGAACGCCATAATGGATAGTTCTGTGGTGACTGGAGTGTAAATTATTGTTTTGATGTTGGAGATGAAAAATTTGTGAGAGGGAGGGATTGGGGATTCTTCGATATTGAGTGAAGCAAGTCCTCCATTCAGGTTGGATGTTTCAAACTCATCCATGAAGACCATGAGGGCAAAGAATAAAATGTTGAAGCAAGAATGTTGTTAAGCAGAAGCTCTGATACCTTGAAAAGTGGGAAAGCAGACAAAAATGAAAACAAGCATATCTACAGAATGTGGAATTTGAACTCATTCTTGTCCTTCTACATTGCTAGTATAGGGTATTATGTAGGACTGGTAAGATGGATCTAGGAGCAAGTGGTTATGCTTTTTAATCAATGATTGGGATATATATAAGGTAGTTATGGTCTAATGTTTGTGATTGCTTAGCTAGTTTAGTTGTGTGCAGCAATAGCCCGTTCTCTGGACCACAAGTGCTCGCTCTATGAACCGCCACGTGGATCCTCTGTCAAATACATGGAAACTTTGAGCAGGATGATTCCTCAAACCTAATATCAAAAATAGCATTCGAGCAATTTTTCTCTCTTATATAGCTCTCTTTTAATATGACACTAAATAGGACGCAATGGAGAAAATTGATTCATGTAGCCGACCCCATGTAGTGGGATTAAGGCTTTGTTGTTGTTGTTGTCGTTGTATAGCTCTCTCTTAATGCTAGCATATGTTCTTATTATTATTTTTTTCGGAATATTTACATACATATCACTCAATTCTTGTGTATTTACTTACATTTTAAGATATTAATTAGCTGTACTTTTATTTCTGTTATAGTTTGTTACTGTCTTTATCATAGTGGATAGCCATGAATCTTATAACACTTTTCAACAAAGTGTCCATGAAAATTGTAGTGAGTGCAAAATGGTCTGTCTTTCTTTTGACATTTGTTGTTACCATTGATCTGATTTTTATAATGGATGCGCTTAGGGACAGCAGTGCGTTATGTAAACGTTGTATTCTGATTTTCAGAATCAGCTCCCTCTGATGTAATACTTTTTTGACGTTCTTCGTTAGAAACGAGTATGGGTGCAAGGGGATCTAAAAGAAGAATTTGGCCTCTTGCTTAATTGAAAGATTCATTTTAACCCCATTAGAAATGTTATTAGATATTCAACCTGGAAGTAATTGTCAAATCCTTGATAGCTCTAGAAGAACACTTTCCGCACGAGCAAGGTGGTCAAAAATTAGATAATTCTTCCCACAATGCTTTCAATTTGGTGAAATAGACATTCATGGACTGTTGATTTTCGATATGGTTGAGTAATTCACGCACAATTGACAAATAAACTTCAACTCAATTTTATTCACGGTTGTATCCCCCATTTTGGTGGTAGTATTTTTGAAGAGTATGATGGTGTTATCGAAAGTTGTATCCCGCATTTTGATGGTGTTATTTAGGGCGATATCCCGCGGTTTGAAGGTGTTATTGAAGGTTGTATCATGAGTTCTTGTAGTGGTATTCACGGGTTTACTCCATTCCTCTCATTCATGTCGTCACGCCACGTTTTGGAGGTCATATTCAAGGTTGTTTACTATATATTGGTGGTGTTTTCCTTGCTATGACTGAAGCCCTATACTGTTGGACACATAACTGTAGGGTCTACTTTCTTCTTTATTGTTTTCAAAATTTTCTTCATAAGATTTCTGACTATTATTTTCCTTATTAGGTATACATGTACCGTTTTCTGGGGGGTTTTATGTTGTTCCAGAACACCAGATAGAGGATTCTTAAATCCTGTTTTTTTGGACTCCACCTTTGACATTAAATAATATTGCCTACAGGCTTTTATAAAAAAATGCAAGCACACACCCCCCCGTCCATCTCGCACGCACGCATGTCGTCCGGCCGCCTGCCTGTCATTTGACCTATGCATGAAAAAATGTATTTCACTTCTTAAAAGCTAAAATGGTGGTATTTTTATGAGATATGAAGTGTTTGAGTGGTAAAAAATGTAAAGGTAAAGTGTAGGCCTTCGATATGTAAATACATAAACATTGGGTGGCACATATTAATGTAAATTGCCCCTTTTTTATGTAAAAATTTCAGTTGCATCCCATATAATTCATCTAATTACTTAAATTTCTTTTGTGCTGCTTTCTATTATTCTCTTTTTTCTCAAATTCTCACTAGATTTAAATTAATCAGACAAACCCTAATAGAAAACATGAATTACAGTTTCCTACTCTTATAGGGTCAGTTTAATTTAAAAAAAATAAGTTAATTAAATGCAAATCAAAATGAGAGAAATATTTTCTTGAGATATTATTTTGGAGTCACATATTTCCTTCTCACTATAAAAAATAAAAATAAATGTGACCCATATTATTTCAAATTCTCAACCACATGAATGGATAAAACTTAACAAAGTCAATCCCTTGTCATTTCTTTACATTCAAACTAAGAAAGAACACGCCAAATTCTTACCTCTTTGCATTCTTTCAATGTTTGCAATTCCAATAAACCCTATTCTAATAAATAAATATAATAATATCATTAATTAAATTTAATTCATGATTATTTTTTTTTTCCAAAAAGATTTTTTCAATCCAGAAGATATTAAAAAAAAATAAAAAAAAAAGACAACAATCAAAATGATTATAAACACAAAATGTCACATTATAAGTCATAAATAGTCTAAATTAATGGCATTATAATTTTAATTTACACTCCGGTCCATAAATTTCACATTATAATTTTAATTTACAGTGCTGGCATCCTTCAAGCGGACAGTGAGAAATAAATGAGAAAAAGCTGAAGTGGTTGAGACCAAATGTCACCCACAGTGAGAAATAAATGAGAAAAAGCTGAAGTGGTTCAGACCAAATGTCACCCGATGAATAAATAAATAAATAAATAAATAAAATCAGTACCTCAAGAAATATTTTAAACATTCTATTAAATTTTAATGGATATATATATATATATATATATATATATTAATGGAGAAGCACATGATATTTTATCTGTTTTGAAGGCCTTGTTTTTTTCTTATTAATATATTTGTGATATAACGTGTAAGAAGTAATGAATATTTTAATTAGTTTCTGATGATCTGTTCTTTACCCAGTGTTAATGTTTATTTTAATTAAGTATTTGTTAGGTTGGAGTTGGTTTGTGGCAGTAAAGATGGTCTCAAACCATAGTAGAAATTATAAATCATGTAAAAAATAAAAAAAAATAGTTAAGTTTATTTTGATCAAATTTTAATTATAATTAGATTCAAAATAAAATCAACAAAAACCCTGTAGAAATTATAAATCATGTAAAAAATAAAAAAAAAAATACTTAAGTTTATTTTGATCAAATTTTAATTATAATTATATTCAAAATAAAATCAACAAAAAAAAAATCCCAAAAGAAAGTGGTAAGTAAAAGTTAAGCCCACTAATGGGTAGCCAAGTAACATGTGGGTTGAATGGGCTAGATCATTGTTGATATAATATTTATTTAATGGAAGAAATTAATTGGGAGGGCTCCACATCAATATATAATCACATTTTTGTAAGTTTGATGTGGCATCTTGTTTTTATCACTATTCCTTACAATGTTATTTCACTAGGCTTCACTAAAATATGGGACATTTACATACATATCCCCCAATTCTTATGTATTTATACAATAACATTAAATTTATTTCATTCAAATCTTTTGTATCACATCAAAATATCATTATTTTAATTTCTAAAAATTGACATATCTCGCACCTAAACTTTCATATTTACATGTATGAAAGTTTAGGTATGAGATATGTAAATACTTTAAATTTTGTGCCTCCGCCGAAATAAGTAAATAATCGAGAAAGTTAACATATTTAACATTTAGTGAATTTAAATTAACAATAATGAAACTTGAATACATATAGTAATACCATAATTTTACATGATTTCAAAACATGTAACTCGCATATCATTTACTTAATCTTTTCTATAAAACAAGATAAATTATTATACATATTTCAAACATTATAAAACTATAATCTTTATCCTCAATCTCCCCCATGAAAAAATATGGCAAGCATTTATTTTGAAGCATTCGGACTTCATGTACACACATTATACATCTTTTTATACAATATATACATATTATTGTATGATATGTACAATAAATCCGCATGCACCAGTACATATTATTCTCCATCACCACCTTGCAATATATATATATATATATATATGTATTAGAAAAGAGCGAGTAAGAAATTTAAGCCCATTCCACATTCAAATTTTGAATTTCAAATTTCTAAACGACGCACGCACGCCTCCTAAATTTAAACGCACTAATTATTCCTAATAATTAAGATTAAATTCGTTCAGTTGCCAAATTAAATAATTTTTCGAATTCATACGCCAATTATTATTAAGATTTTTTTTTTCTTTCAAAAAAAAATAAAAAATGGGTTTTTATTTTGAAACAGAAAAATTTTTGGAACGTAATGATCGGAACGTTGGAGTGAAAGATTCGATTGACTCCAATTAGAACCTAAAACTGCAAATCCTTTTTTAGAGTCTATTATGATGTTGGAGTATACAAAAAAATGTAAAATGGAAAACAGAATGTGAGAGGACGATTATGTTCGCCAGGACCGGGTCTGACACAACCACAAGGACTCAGCAAGACTGAACCGGCGGCGCGGCGGCCGCGAAGAACGGCCCCTCCTTCTTCCGGCGCATCTCCAGCACTTTCCGGTGCTTGTTCGAGTGTATGTTGCTGATAAACGTCGGACTGCACGCCGGCCGGTACTCCGGCAACAGCCGACCGGATTTAAACCGGACCCCGCAAGCATTACACAGCGTTTTTGGGCCGTGCGGCCCGGCCCGCCACTGCGGCGTCTTCTGAGCACCGCAGTGCGTGCACTGCCTCTCGCTACAGACACCGCCGGGCATGGAGCTCTTAGGCTTTCTGCCCCGCTTCTTGTGATAGGACTCTTGAGATGCGTAGGAGCAGGAGCAGGAAGAAGAAGGAGAGGGTGAGGAAGTTGAAGAAACAGAGGAGTAGCAGGGCATGGTCCAAGAGATGCCGGTGCGGCGGTTGCGCTTGCTTCGCTTGGCCTTCACCGGAATAAGCGCCTCCTTTTTTACTCTCCAAGAAGCCGCCGGAGAAGGTTGCTCCATCGAGAAGCAGGGCCTGCAATTCTCCTTTATGGAAGCCATCGTCGGCTGATACTCCGAGTTGCAATCGTGAACGAAACGTGAAAGCCATTCGAGGTCTGCCGCGTCGTTCTCCTCCTGAAAAAAAATCAAATTTTTTTCAAAACTCCAACGAATAACTCGTGAATAAAAACCGGACCTTTTTCTAATGGAGCTTTGTTTACCGGGAGATTTATTCCCAAGCGATGAAGACTCTCCTTCTTCTCGAACGCAAAAAAGACAGCTTCTTTGGCTGAATCGTCGCCTTCTTCTTCTTCTTCCTTCTCAGGTTCCGGTAGGCCCCTGAGGTCGAGCAGGTCGTCTACTTGAAACTCGTCCCCCGGCGGCGCCGCCTCTTCTAGAGAGAACCACCTTTCATTAAGGCCATCCATTTCCCTTGGTTGAGCGAAACCAAAGCAGCCTGTCCGAGCGTCCCTCAACTCAAAGGCGGGATTTTTAAGAATTTTTTTTCAAAAAAGTTAAGCCTCAGTGGATTGTGGACGAAGAGTGGGAAGAGAAGGCCGGCCGGTTGGAAGCGATAAGGATGAGTGGGAGAGAGGCGAAGTAGAGAGAACGAGAAAGAGTGAAGGGGGGCAAATATGGGAAAGCGAGCCGCTTTTGGGGCATAAGTGGTGCAAGAAAACGGGGTGCATCAAATGCCTCTGTCCCCTTCCTTTCTTCCACTATTTCTTCTCTTTTTTTTAGTGCCATTTTTACGAAGATATTTTCCTTTTTATGGAGATTTTACATTTTTGTCCTTGTTTCCCAAAACAAAATATTACAATGCGAAAAAAAAAAAATCTTGGACAACATGACAAATGTGATGTGGCCCTCAGCAGCCTTATTATTGCTGAATAATTCAATGGAATGGTATTAATGTTAATGTAGTCATTTCTCTTTAATGATTGAACTTCTGCTCCTTTTTATGCCTGCTTAAACTAATACATTTTAATATTTTACATACATACGTCAGGTATTTATGTATTTATATATCTAACACTTAATATTTAATATTTACATTTGTAATAATTTGATATTCAGTACCTATACTATATATATATATATATATATATGAAAATGTGTATTTAGCTTTTTAAAAAGGTTTATGATAGTATTATTTTCTATGTGATGCCAAAAAATGAATGGTATGCAAATATGAAATTTTCAATGCTATGTATGTGAATATATAAAACTTGTGTGATATGTACGCAAATTCCGCAATACCTCATGCATCTTTATATTATATTTTATAAAAATGTATAATAGTTTTTAGGACAATGAGAATAATTATAAGAATCATGAGTCACAAATATATGATTGCTTATAGAAATAAAAAAACAATGATATTTACAAATCAAGCACTCAAGTATACTATGATCAAACAATTGAGAGCTCGACATCATCAATTTTGATATTTTAGTGAGAATTTGAAAAATAGGTGAAATAGGGTGCTCAGGGTGCTTGATTTGTAAATAGCAAAGTTTGGGGTTGTGCCTATGTAATTGCACCCATTAAAAAAAAATACAATGTTTTTATCATTTTCTATCTTTCACAAATACTATACTTTCTAATAATAATTAAAATATTTTGAATATAATAGATTAGTTGTGCTTATAATTATTTTATAATCCATGAGTTATAATAATTAAATCAAATTAAACTAAACAAACATTGTTTGGCAAGAATTAACCCTTCTAACCAAAGTTATCTCACTCTTATCCTTAAATCAATTTCAGCAGCTGTTCACCAAATTCCCAAAAATAATTTTAGCATGCCGAAATCTTCTTTTATAGTTGCTAATTTGTTCATAAGAAATTCTTTTTTTTTAATTATTAATTATATTTTACTTTTAATAAATAAATAATGATAACGATATCTCTTAAGTGATATGAATAAATAGAAAATATTTACTTATATAAATACATAAAAATTGTGTGGCAAATATGTAAATTCTCCTTGATTTTTTATACAACGCACCCTAAAGTCGCCACCACCTCCAATTCCTCTAATATAAAAAATTCGCTTGCAAAGGCCAGTTCCACGTGGGCTGCCGGCAAACCAAGCTGCTAAAATACTGCAAAATCCTGGAGGCCTTCAGCTTAATGGAAGAATTTGTTTGAAAGTCTGAGGGTAAAAGTGGAAATAAAAGAAATTAGACCCCGATGGGTTTTAGATAATTTTAATTATATTAAAATTATACTTTAAAAAATATAAGAATGATTTTGATATTTTTAAAACGATCTTATATAAATATTGGGATTATTTTATTTGTTTTCACACTTTACACGTTATTTTAAAGGTCTATGGGTCTGGACTGTATGGGGGCGGTCGGGTCGCTTTCCTCCAGGGCGGCCCAGCGACCACATCGTTTTGCCATCTGGCCTCATCCGGCCGAGTGGTTTCCAGGTGGGCCAAATTTTAATGAGAAATTAAATTTATTTGTTTTATTGTTATCAAGAGAGAAAGAAAATTAATATTTATTATTAATAATTTTAAATTATTGAGATATAATTTGTGGCAATTACATACGGCATATCATTCAGCTAATGATTTGAAGATTTTTTATTTTTAATGGGAGAATTATAGAATTACTTTTACAATGAATATATTTGCACAATGGGCCGGCCCAATAATGTTTTCCACTTTCAAATTGTTAGGTCAAAATTATTTCTGCTTTTTTGCCGGGGCCCACTTCTTCTGAGTGCTCTATTTATTGTGAACTCATGACCTACTTCACATTCATTTGAATTAATTTTGAAATGACTATAATACATTAAAATGAATGCTATAATTATTTTAAGGGGAATGAAGAAAGTTATTGTTGGATACTTTTATTCCATTAGATATTATTTATTCTAATAAAAATTTGAGGATATAATTTTATTCAATCATTAATACGATAAGATATTATGTTAAGATATTGTATGATTGAATGACAGTGTGGATCGCACCATATGTTTGTGCACAGGGCGTAGTGTGATCCACATCGTTGTCTGAATAACTGGACAATGGAGGTAATATTTTTTCCATTATTACGACTCATGCATCTCCCAGCCAATGAAAATCAACTCAATTTCTCATCCATCAAACAAAAAATATATAATTTTTTTTCATTTATTTTTTCTTGAAAAAAACAAATATCTTATAGGTAATTTCATTTCACTCCTCTTATCTATCTTTGTTTCCTCTTAGATTTAAAAAAAAAAATGTGTTTGTTTTGATTCCAATGAGGTCTAAATAGTACGATGAGGGAGGGTCCATCAACAAAAGAATATGATTTCCACTTATCTGACCAAGTGCAATCAACCGAGTCAAAGATAGTAAATTAAAAGCCGACTGTGCCGCGAAAGACGACCAATTGATCCTAGTTCAAACGTTCTATTAGAAACAAGATAAGGAGGCATCTGAGTCAATCACCGCTAAAATGCTAACGAGATTTATATGCCATTGAATAAACTTGCAACCATATTGTCTGAAAGCATGCAACTATAAATAAGCTTTCTCCTTGTGAAAAATTATTGTATGCTCTTGCTTTCAGATCTTATATTTCAATACTTAATCTTAATTTATTCCTTGTCTACTTGTTTTATCGTGATTTTATGACTTTGTTTTCATGATGCAAGCAGTTGTGTTCATCATATTTTAATATTGTTCGTTTGTGTGTAAGAGTGCCAAAAATTTTGAAGGATTTTCCAAAATATATGTTGGAAGTATGAATAGTGAAATACATGAAATAATACGTAAGCTTCTCTAAACACAATGATTGTAAGCTAACTATATACTCAAATATGGTAGTTGAATTGAGCCCACATGTCGAAGTGGCTGAACCGAGCCAACCAATTGAAGTGACCTAAATGGCTGAACCGATCATCCTCATCTTCCCTGAGAAGACAACATAGCCTACATGTTTGGGGGCAGCAATTCGAGAAAGCCATCATAATCAATAATGATGTCTGTCATTCACTTATTAAAGATGTTGCTCGACACTGTTGATCTGGTCCTTTCGTCCATACATCAATCATGGTTGTCGAACAGACAATATATGATATTAGTCAACAATACTTTAATGTGTATTTCATGAACTATCCATCAATGTATGAGACAAAGTCAAAAATCCATAAACAAATATATTATTTTTATTATTCTATAATCTTTCACTCTCGTGTATAAGAAAGGGAAAGAAAATAGGAAAGAGGTCTTGGCAGAACCTCTCTTTTTCTCGAAAGAGAATCCTAATCTTGAGCCCTGAATTTATCTTTTCCTCTCCCTCTCTAAAATCCTGTCACTAGATGAACATTCAAAAAGCCACCTCCTTCATATTTATTATTGGAGATTGATAATTAACATATTTCATAAGATCCTTTCAAAAGAAGGTCATCCATCTATCTCTTGTTGGCATTCTCTCTGCGATACAAGGCCTTTTACCATATTTTATGTACTCACAAACAATACACGAGTACAGGACCATTCTGCGATACAAGGCCTTTTACCATATTTTATGTACAGGACCATACTACACGAGTACAGGACCATACGTCTTAAAAGGATTCAACACAACATTCAATAACCACTTTCTTAAGTGTAAGTGCCAATTTTACATTTTTAGGTTGAGAACAATGAGCCATATTGAAGGAAATCATAGGATAAGGAATCTTGATCGTCATAATACTCTCAGGCGCATTTGCTAAAGTTCACGTGACAAAGAAGAAAACTCAAAACTTTTCTAGACCTCAACCAAAAGTGAGGTCAACAAAGCTCGAATATTAGAAATTCCTCATAATACTCCAATTATCTATTTGCCTATTTGCTTTGAGAATACATATGTAAGTATACATATGCTTAATTAATATTATACTTTGATAAGTTTCTTAAATTATATTTTCAAATTATTTTGGTCTTAGAAACTGTTTTACAAATATCAGATTAAGAAATATTATTTTGTTGGATTGGAAATTTAAAAAAACATTATACTTTGATTAATTAGAAATTAAATCACACCATGGAATATGGTCACACTAATTTAAAAAATTTGGAACATAAATCAAACATAAGCACAACAAAATAATTCGAGAAAAAACACAACAAAATTTAAGTGAAAAAACGCGATAAAGTGAAAAAATTACGGAGCCACATCACCGTATATTTTCACCATGAAGAAACAAAATTGTACAAAGACTCACATTCAGATCAACTCTCTACAAGCAAGATAACTTACAGACTTTACTTCAAACCTTCATCTTTATCTCACAAAAGAAAGTCCTCGTTCCAAAATTCGCTCTCATGATAATATATTTTCATGAGAAAACCAGTCGAGAAATACCACTCACAAGAGTACTAACTTTATTGCTCGAATAGAAGACTTAAGACCAAAAGGAGAGAGAAAACTGCACCTGGCACGTCCACCCTACTTCTGGGCAAGGGAGCAATGCGCTCTCTGGAATCGAGCGCAAAGGCTCTCGAAATGCTGTGTAGGGGCTCTATAGACGTTCTACGGGCACTCCCTATACGGGCATAACTGCGTCAAATCCTCCATTTACTTGCATGGGGGCTCCATCCAAGTGTTGGTGCGCCGTGCCACAAACACCTCTTGTTGCTTAACATGTTGACTGCTTCCTTGCGGCTATAGGTGCTCTTCCAGGATCCAAACCTCAACATCGTGGTCTCTTAAACTTTTATAAGATAAGTTTTGACCCATAATTTTCTTATAAATTTGAATTATAAATCATGTTTATCATATTGCAAAGCTTCTATTTTATGACCTTTTTATCAATATTTATGAGCTATATAGGCATGAAAATAATGAATTACTTTCTAACAAGAACTCTTCATAAAATTAACATATAGTGGTACAAGTATAACTTTTAGACTCATTGACATTTATTATTCAAACTGTTTTCACTGGAACATTTTAGACATGGAGTATTATTTTCACACTCATTAGAGCCCAATTTTTTAAAATATAATTTGCACTTAAAATTAAATAATATTTTTAATTACAAAAAAAATGTTACTCTATTTTTATGTATAAATGCTAATGGTTATCCAAAAACATCTCTATGCTTTTTGTTCATTTCAAATTATGATTAAAGATAAAAATAAAGTGCGAAAAAAAGAAAGACAAAGAGAGAGGGAAAATATAAAGAGAGTTATTATGTTAAGATGCCTTAGGTTCATCTTCATAAGCCATGCTAATTAAAAAAAATATTACTCATTTAAAAAATGATTTTCATTTTCTATTTTTATTTTCATAGTTTTAATCATGTGCGATTTCTCATAATTCAATTTGCCTAAAACTTATTAAAAATAAGATGCACTAGTGTGATTTCAGCGGATGGTAGCTGATGAATCACAGCATCTGCTGAACGCACGACATTATATGATCCACACCGTCATTTGCACGCCCAGAAGAATACAATATTTTCTCTAAAAAAGACGGTCCTTGTCTCTGTCCCCCTCATTCTAGGCCTCTTATTTTTTTTAAAATAAAATTTGCATTATTTTGACAGAATTTATTGTTATTTGCGAAACTTTGAATTTTTTAAAATGTGTTTCTGAAAAAAAAAATCATAAATAACTCATAAAATAAAGAATTGTATTTTTTTAAAATGAAAAGTAACAAAAGAAAGAAAAAGTTGCTTCAAGGTGCCCCTAAATTCAGAATTTAAGCGAAAGAGACCAGCAATGGGATTCAAGGGTTGTTTGGCTATAAGTATGATTTAATTTAAATAGGATATAGTAAATTCTATAAAATTGAAATCTTGATGTGTAAAAATTGTTTCAAGTGACAAATGTTAAATAAGATTAAGGGTCTATTTGGCGTAGCTGTGAATTATTTATAATCTGCTGATAAGCAGATTATTCTGATAATATGATAATCTGCAGATTATCAAAATAATCTGGCTTGCTGTTTGAGGCAGCTTGTTCAGAGTAGCCTATTGGTGGTTAAATGACATTTCTGCCCCTGTCAAATGAAACTGTTTGGGGCAGCTTATTCAGAATAACTTATTGGTAGAAAAGAAACATATAGTGCAGACACATACGATAATAAAAATATATTAATAAAAACATATTAATAAAAACATATTAATAATAGTTTTTTGCTAAAAATGAACCAACATTCACATAATTAACCAACAGCAGTGTCGCTACAATAAAAAAAAAAAAAAAAAAAAAAACAATTGACACAAAGGATATATGTGGTTCGGTCAAAGACCTACATCCAAAGTAAGGTTATCCATATGAAATGCATTGAAAGCAGTTTTGAGCCGTATGTTCATATTCATCTCCAACATGAAATTTACGAATGAACAAATTAATGAACAGATAAATGCCACCAACTGTAAACACATTGCGAGCTATATATGCATCATATTATCATAGGTTTACAAAACTGTTGTGATCAAACTTCACATAACATCTCCTAAATAAATTGTCTACTATGAATGAAGCACATGATACACAACTTTTGGAATGAAGCACACAGATAGAAAATGATCAAAGCCTCTGATAGCTTTGTTTTGAAATGCAAATAATAAAGTCATTTCCCCAACTGTAAAGATCAAAGCCACGATTTGATGGAACTAGCAACCAAGAATGCCAGAAAATTAGCCACATCAAACTAGCTAATTGCAATGAAACAGGGAGAACCAAGACTTGACATATAGAACAATAGGGATAACCAATTTCAGAACAACAGGGAGAACCAATTTTCAGAATAACTCCAATTTTCAGAACAATTGTAAACCAAAATCCCAAAGGAGTGCGGCATATAGAAGATCTATTTCCAGAGCACTATAATATGTGATCCATTTCCAAAGCAAGATCTAAAAATCCCTAAATGTAAGAGCTAAAAATCCCAAAAAAACAAAACGTGAGGGCATAAAAACCAGAGAAGATCTATGGAGAACATTTCTAGAGCATATAGAAGAATAGAAGCTTTGTAGTGCCTTGTAGGCCTAAAAAGAAACCACAGGAATACCAAATACAACATTCGAGCCGCATAAACGAACCAGAGAAGATCAAAGGGGATGTGGGGAAGAAGTACAAACAGAAGTTTATGCACGAGAAGATCAGTAAAGGAGATCGCGGGGAAGAGCACGAGAGATTCACAGGGATACAGAAGGGAAATAAGCTCTAGCCAACGCCGAACGAAACCCCTCCCCCGCGTTCGATGAAACGAATAATATCACATCCGAGATTACAGACGATTTGAAAACGCAGCCCTAAACGCCGAAACAAATGCTGAAAACGCCGCCGCAGCAAAATAAGCTGCCCCAAACGGGCCTTAAATCTTATGAAAAAAATTGATTGCTTACTTTAGGATTTAAATATGTTAATTTAAATATAAATTTTATGTTTTATATTAAAGATATAATTATTAAGCCCAATTATGTCTGATTTGAAATTTCATTTCTAATTATGTTAATAACTGATTAACTATTTACTCAACTAATTAATCATTAATAATAATTTATTGAACAAATTATTTATCAAGCAAAGTCTTATTCATTAATCAACCATTGATTAGTTATGAGTTAGACTAATCAATAATTAATTATAATTTTATAAATTAATTAAATTTAAAAATATAATTCAATTATTTTAATTAATTATGAAGTAGTTAGATATAAGCTTATATAATTAGAATTAATTTTATATTATATCTATTGAGTTTAAGTATTAATCAATTAAATTAAGGGGCATATGCATGTCATCCAATTTCTTTGCATTAAGTTATGTAACACACAATTTATTTTTTAAGAAATTATTTTATTAGGATACTTGATGCAAATTTAGATCACATGTTCAGTTGAAATTGGTCATGTATTAGAATGGGTCTCACATTTTTTAAAAACAACTAATTTGTGTATTTCAGTGGGGTCCATATTTTGATGTGACCAATTTTAATTGGACACCTGATACAAGATGTAATAATTTTCCTTATTTTTTATATTAATATCATCCAAATATTTCATTTCACATAAGAAAATATCCTCATTTTAATTTTTAAGAAGTGAGATACATTATTTCATGCATAATTAAAGTGATATGCATGTAAAAATTAAATTTTGATGTTAATTATGTAAATACATAGTAAATCATCTTTAAATTAATTAAAATTAACTTTTATAAAATTATATTTAATCTCGAAACCTATTACACGATTGCCCTTTCCTTCCCGTAAACCTAGCCTCCCTCTCGTCCTCCTCCCCGGTTTTGCCGGAATCCATCGCCTAGCTACCCCTTCCTCCTCCTCTCCTGTTCCCGAAACACGTAGAGCAAATGATTTGCTAATGAATATCTAATCAAAGAACTGATACTGCGCTGCACAGTTCTTTCCTCCCTTAGTTGTTAATCTCTAAGACCTAAACACATAGAGCCTATCATGGTCCAGTTTAAGAATAGGTACCTGGTGATTGAGGTTCTAGTAAACGGCGGCAAGGACTCTTCCGGAAATGATCCGATTATTGTTACAGAGTATAATTTGTTGAAGGCGATCAAAGACAACCTTTTGTTGAACTTTGGGGAATGTGGTCTTGCTCTTTCGCTTGGATCCTTGCAAGGTATGTGCTTTTTCTTCTTTGATGCTAAAGGTTAAATCTTTAGGTTTAGTTATGCTCACATTGCTTATTTATCGTCTCTTTTTCCTGTTTTATATGAAGTCAAGTATGTCAACCCTTCCACAAAGCTGTGTATTATAAGGACCTCTCGTGATGATTATCAGAAGATTTGGTCGGCAATAACAATGGTGAAAAGTATAGGGAAGTGCTCTGTAACTTTCAACTTGCTAGCTTTGAGTGGTGAGTATGCTATCAATAAGATTAACTTAACTTGGATTCCTTGTGATAAATGATTTTGCTCAAAATTGTTCTAATTGTTTGTGGCATTTGGGCTGCATTTTGAATTATAATTGAGATTTGGGCCACTGTTTTCTTTTCTGTTATGCTCATGCCATGAATTGCTTCATATATACATGATATTTTTTTTCCTTTTTTGGATTCTACTGCATTTTTTTTAAGGTTAATGGCGTTGATCCAGTTGTTCAACCTATGAACAAATTGGTGGTACATTTGGGCAAATTTTCAACTCATGAACAATTGCTTGATTTGCAGATGCTAAATTTGGTCAAGCTGAGCTCATTAGATTAGACTGAAATCTAAAAGTGTGAACTAATGGGAAGAACAAAAAGGGAACTTTAAGAGGATTATAAGCAGTCTACATTGTGCTTTCTTTTTGCTCACATTGTATTTTTTTTTCGGTTCATGTTAAAACATGCTATGTGTTGATCTAGTGGAGAAGTGTTGTTTTCCATTATTTTGATTTTCTTTTTAGGTTTAGTTTGCTGCCATGAGGATTCTGATTCAATCAACATTCTGTCGCCTTTGTTTTTTTTTTTTTTTGAGGCTTTATGTAATTGGAAAATAAGGAAAACAAAGAGTTGATTTTTATTAATTTGATGCTAGTGTAATAAGAACTTGCAATTTTTTAATTGAATCTTAGAGGATTCTAAGTGAATTCTTATTATGGATCTTTTATGTGCCGTATATAAGATCCCTAAAACTGTAAAATTGAGTGAACATTGTATTTTATAGTAAAATTCAAATTTTCTTATGAATGTTGCATGTGTTGTTAGATGCAAATTTTTCCAAGTACTTTTTGAGTTATGACCAACTACTTTTGGAGACGAGTTTCTTTGTGTTTGTGTGGATCTTCCTCTTGATGAATTCTTTCCTTTTTTTTCTATTTACTTGTTATGTGATTGATATGTGCACATAATTGATTGGTTGACAAGTTTAATAAGTGTCAATTCCCCTTCAATGGTGTCAATTTTGACTAATGTAGAAATTTCCATTTGCTAGGTTTTACTCATGACATTTCACATTTTAGCCCCTTATAAATTAATATTTTGAATGATTTAAGTGTATTTGTTGATTTTGCATCAAAAGTGACAAGTTTTGCTAAATGTTATAATTTTTTATAACAAATGATTGCTCTTTCTTTGTTTCATTATGTATTTCATCTTAGGTTTGCTTTGGTGAACTTTAGATCTGAAGGCATCCTGCAGTATCTTTTCCTAGTATAATCAAAATTAATTATGTGATATCAAAGCAGTTTTTATGAGATTATGCCTCCCATCCCATTATTATGTGGCTTATAATACCAAGGTTCAATAATCGCCTCAATTCATAACATTTTTTTTTTTGAAAATAAACCTTTTTCTTTTTCTGGGCATTGACATACATCCAATTCCCTATTTATTTACATATCTAATACCAAAACCTTACTTTTTTACTCTTATACCATCCAAATCATTCATATCACCTAAAAAAATGCAACATTTTAGCCTTCAAAATGTGAAATACACCCTTTTAAGTTGGCATAAATGTTATATTGAAGTTTAGGGGTTAGATATGTAAAAGATAGGAATTGAGTGGCATGAATGTAAATCTTCCTTATTTATTTTAGTAAACTTTCTTGAATGTTGTTAAACAAATAATTTGTTAATAACTTAATGATATGTTTAGCAACGGCTTGTTTTGTTGTTTAAATTTTTAATATTTTTATATTTTAAAACTATTTATATTGTTAGACAACAACAACAACAACAATAACAAAGCCTTAATCCCACTACATGGGGTCGGCTACATGAATCCTTTTTCTTCATTGTGTCTTATTTAGTGTCATATTTTCATTTAGTTCTAGTAAATTAAGATCATTTTTTATACAATAAGCCCAAGTCTTCCTAGGTCTACCTCTGCCTTTCTTAACACAAGTTGAATCTAAAACATCTACTCTCCTAATCGGATCATCAGATGGTCGACGTTTGATGTGACCAAACCATCTAAGACGACATTCTCTAATTTTGCCGTCGCAGGAGCTATACCAACCCTATCACAGATATATTCATTTCGCATTTTGTCTTTAAGTGTAAAGCCACTCATCCACCTAATCATTCTCATCTCGGCAACACTTAACTTATTATTATGCTTCTCTTTTAATGGCCAACATTCAGCGCCATAGAGCATTGCAGGCCTCACCACCGTCTTATAAAATTTTCCTTTCAGTTTAAGCGGTACTTTTCTATCACACAAAAGACCCGAAGCATTTCTCCACTTCAACCAACCAACTTGAATTCTACTATTAACATCCCCATCTATATCACCATCGCTTTGAACAACGGACCCAAGATATCTAAATCGTTCACACCTTTTAATAATTTGATCACCCAAAGTCACACTTCTATCACTAGAGCTACTACTACTAAAATTACATTCCATGTATTCCGTTTTAGTTCTACTTAAATGAAGGCCTTTAGACTCCAATGTAGACCTCCATAATTCAAGTTTTTCCTGGGCTTTTTCTCTCCTTTTATCCACGAGAAGGGTATCATCAGCAAAAAGCAAACACCAAGGTACATCCTCCTGTGGATGTCCAGTAAGACCATCCATAACTAAAGCAAAAAGATATGGGCTTAAAGCCGATCCCTAATAAAATGCTAAACTCATATTATTAGAGCTATAAATAAAATAAAAAATGCTAAACTCATAGTTAGATATTTAAATTAAATTATTTTATTAATAATATAAAATTTCCAAAATAATTTAAATAATAACTGATAAATTAGTTCAAATTTAATTAAGATGTATGAATGTGAAGACTATATGTTTAGCGTCAAACATTTAATTAATTAGACTCAACCGCACCCCTTTACCCTTTTTGCATTATTTCTTTGAAAAATTTACATACATGCCATACAATTCTTATGTATTTATGTATCTAACATCTAAACTTTTATTTTTATATTTATAACACTTTGTTGCCATAAATGCCCCTAACTTTTTGTCATATTCTGCTCAAACCTTATTTGCTGCAACATAAATTAGTTAAGTTAATTATGCTAGCCTAATTTGTATTATATTTGCTAAAATTTATGCTTATATTCGTATTTTTCCTCAGTAAAAATATTGCCTGGATGCTCACGATTATTCCTCTTTTAGGAACCATTAAAGCCTGTAAGAGCGCTGCGTTGAAGTGCGAAGAAGCAAAATTTGAACACTATAAGCTTGAAGCAGCAAATCATCTCACGCCAGAGCGATTATCACAGATTAGAGGCTATATGGAAAAGATCAAAACTTTGGAGAATTAAGCGATGTTTGACTTCGTTTTAGGGAAAAAACAGCTTTTTTTTTTCATGTCATTTTGGTTTTTCCCTTTGCCTTATTTGAGATAGAAACTACATTTATTGTTGTTTTCTCGGCTTGATCCGAGCTCCTATCTTGCAAGAATGGAGGTCTCTTTCTTAGGACTGATGTAAACCCTCTCCCTTGTCCCTTCTCCAATGAAAGAGAAAGCTTTCTTATTTTCTTTAATATTACTTCTTCAAGAAACTCTCGTTTTGATTACAGAGAATATTAAATGATTTAGTATGGTATGAGGTCTCCTCTTGGAATATAAATATCGATGAAAGATAACGATGATGTGGATGTCAGATGACTTATAAATAGACTTGGGCATATTCCCTCTTCTTGTCGGTAATAGTTACAGTACAGTCGAGTTTAAGGGTTGACGAGGAGAAAGCTGACGGGTTGTTTTGACAGATCAACCTTACAATGGGTTCTAGCCTTCTAGGTAGTTGTTACTCGGGGGAACAACTCTACAAGCCAACCCGGCAATTGGTGCACGATAACTGGCACTTTGGCAAATGAGTGTGGTAAGTCAACGCGACAATTTGTTCCTGACAGTCGACACTTTAATAGTAAGTGCGGTAGGTCAACTTGATTGTTGACACTGAAACATAGTCAACTTGATTATATCAACTTGGCAACTGCTGCAAAACAGTTGACACTTTGGCAAATGAGTCAACCCAAATTGTCACCTCAACACGTGATACATGGTAGCTATGCTTTAGTAAAAATGTGCTTTTTAGGCTCACAATGCCTGTTGACATCTATTTCGGTACAGATATTTAGCACAGAATTCTTATTTATTTGCATATCTAACGTCTAAGCTTTACTTTTTACATTTTAACCCCAAATCTTTCATATCCCATTAAAAAAATCACTATTTTAACTTTGGAAGATTTACATACATACCACGCAATTTCTATGTATTTACTTATCTAACATTTAAATTTCAATTTTTACATGGCACTTTATCTATATTTGAAAAGATGTGTTTCAATATTTAAAAGTTAAAATAATTATATTTTTTATATGATATTAACAAATTGAGTGATAAAGAATATAAAAATTAATTGTTAATAACAAGAAATTATTAGTGTCCCATTAAATTGTTATTCAACAAAATAATTCATTGAAATATATATTATTAAATTAAGCTAAATATTCCACGAGACATAATATAATATATATATATATATCTTTTATACATAAGAAAAAGTGGGATTTATATATTCGTATATGGTACTTAAAATTTTAATATTTACACCGTAAGATGTTTTTGGTTAAGTTTTAATTAGGATTAGCCTTATTATTAATTTTTTTTTGGAGTGAAGTGTAATTTAAATTTTAATGAATTTGGCAATGTTAGACTAAATTCAACCATTTTTCTGTAAATTTAGTAATTTATATTCGGAAAGAAAAATTTTCCATCGAGATTATTCGCTCTCGGCTCGCAAATGTCTCCAATGCCCGCACTCGGCTGGCCACTTCCTACTCGAGATCCCGCAACAGTGCGGCTCCGCGGTGAATAGAACGTCGGCCTGTAAATCTGTAGGTTTCGGACATGGAAACCCCCGAGAGCTCTGCTACGTTGTCGACCCACTTGGACCCTGAGGTAGACGACGAGCATGACACTAAGGAGAGGGTGCTACTCCGTTATTTCCTTCAGGAATGGGCGCTAGTCAAATCCATCCTTGATCGGATCGTCGCTAATGACGGCGCCACTAATCCCTCAGATGTCAACAAGATACGCTCTATAGTACGTTCTTCCTTTATCGAAACTCCACGTCTTCTGACTTCAGTTACACTATTCGTTTCTTTTCTCAAGGTTTAAAAAGAAAAAAAGTCGAATTAGTTGTTAGAGCAGTTAGATTGGGACTTGGTAATCTACAAATGAATTGTTACTTAAATAGGGACTTGTTGAAGCTTCCATTGTTCTACAATCAATTTCTGGAATTTAATAGGAAAAAAGAAAGTTCTAACAACGATAGGTATCAAAAAGGAAACAGAGAGAATATAAAATGAAGGAGCTGAACATTATACATATCATACAAAGTATTTTCCATAATCACTATAATGAATCTTTCATTCGAGGACTTCCACATTTCGTGAAATGTATTTATAGTCAGCCCTTTAGATTTTTTTCTAAAATCTTTCTTATCATATAATAAACTAAGCCCCACCCACCCTTATAAATTAATGTTGCTATTGCTGGAATTTTTAGTTGTATTTTAATAGGATTTTGGTTGAAAATGGAATTCTTTTGAAGATTAGAAGATCTGGATTGATTTTTATTCTTGTGATTATTGGTTGAAGTTTGAATTTGAAGGCATTCTGCCTTACTATTCTTCATACAACATTTTTGGACATGTGTACTCAGATTGTTTCAAAGTTCACCTGTAATTGAGAGAATCACCAGCTAGCATTTTTTACACGCAACAATAAAAGGAGCACATAAATAACCATAATGTATCTTCATATGTGCTGGAAGCAACTCTACTTATTATAGTTCAGGATAAAATTTGGAATTAAGTTTAGATCTTACATGGAATCAATTTTTTCAGTCTTTCTTTATCTTAAGGACCAATAAAGTTATCATCTCATGCACATCCAAAAACAATGATATAGATACATTAGAGGTGTTAGTTCTTCATCTTCACCTTACTGCAGAAACATTTATTTTTAAATTTGAAGCAATTTAATGATTATGATGTTAATTTTCTGTGCATATAGGCTTAAATGAATATGACATTTCAAAATTTGCTTTCTAGGAGCGGACATAAATAGGTAAAAAATTTATAGTCAGTCATCTAGATTTGTCAGGTACAAACAAACTACAACTGAGTTTTTTGAGAATTTCTTCACATATCAGATGGGTTTTTTTTCTTTTTTATTATCATGCTATCTCTAATTGTGCTTTAATATCTTACATCATTATCTCTCAATTTTTTGTAATTGTTTCATATTATATTCATTTCATTACTTTGTTATTAAAAAATCAACTATTTTAAGTGGATGTGCTGGGAAAAGAGTATCGTGATAGAGTTCCATTTTTTCTCATTAGATTAAGAAAGAAGGAAGTGTTTTCTGCTTGTGCATTAAGAGTTTTTGTGCAACGTGAAAATTAAGTATGAATGATGGTTATGAAGTTAAGAGTAAATTTGGTAATGTTTAGATTGATGTTTGAATAAATAAGGCCACATAAATCAAGATTAATGATCAACAAAGATAACAAATTTTCAAGAATAACCCATAATATGATGTGGGGCAGGTCCTCAATTATTAGAGTGAATAAATTTGAATGTAGTATTAGCGCACAATTCATTATGAGAAAAATTTCACTTGGTTGTTTTGACATTGACAAGAAATACATGGGTTCATATTATTATTTACAGGCCCTAAATGTATAGTAGACACTAATTTATGAAGATAATTAAAGAAAATATGGCCAGTAGTAGACACCAATTTATGAAAATATTAATAGAAATATGACCAAGCATGAGTGCTAGTCTGCTAGAGCCTAAAGTAGATGTTTTGAAGATCTTATATATTGTAGGAGAAATCAATGAGGGCACTAGAGATTAGTGAGTGCAAATAGATGATCATCTCTACGTCAAAGTGAAGAAATAAATATCATATCTTGGTTTCATTTCTCATTTAAAATGAAATTTAGAGTAAGTTTGGTTAAGAAGTTTGAGGAAGAGATAAAATAGGGGTGTTGACATGACCAATACAACTGGTGTGTTGCAGAATAGCTCTATCATAATAGGCCATTAGAACGGAATTTGGTGCAACATTTTTGCAGTGTTGGAGAATAGCTCAATAGTTATTTTTAGGCAAGGCTAGGTCAAGTTGAGTCTTAATGAGATGAATTTTGTCAAAAAAATTGTTGGTCTTCTTTACAAGCCTTTGATGAAATTCTTGTAGAGCACAACAATATTGATGTTACAACCTAATGAATCAAATGGCAAGAAAACCCCATATGATTTTTGCTATATCATAATTGCCAACTTTTGGTTCGAGTTGCGAGGGCAGAGGTATTGTGAATTTAGATATTATATACATACATATATATA